GAATTGAAGTGATTTAAATGAAATAGTCCATATGAAATACCACCCTCCCACACACACACACACACACACGCACACGCACACACACACACTTTTCACATCAAAATCTCCGTAAACATTTTTGGCGGCGTTCACAGATTCATCACGCCATCTAAACACACCCCTCCCCGATCCTCTCTCGGCACACTTTACTGTTTAGGTTAAGGATAAACATCCCTTCATGATTTGCATGACTTTCGACAAGGGACAGCAAAAAGCCGGGTCTAAACTCGTCTCTTATCAAGATATCTGGTATCATACAAGCCTTCTCGGGTAACACAAGCAATCCGCCGAAGAGACAAGAATAAGAATCTATCGACTTAGTTATTCCCCTGTTGATAGGGCATCGAAAACTGCTAATATCAATTACTTTGGCGCGAAATAGACATTGTCAGATTTTCGTCTTTTTTCACTGTTCGCGTTATAAAAGTTCAAAGAGTGGGTGTCAGTTTAAAAAAAGCAGTTGTTATTCCCATATATATTCGATATGTTAAAGCCTGTCTGCTCCAGTTTGGCCAGGAGGGATTAGACCACCCTGTGTGGTCAATGACAGGTGGTTATCTCATCAAATCAGCTCTCAACTAACATAAGAAAAAAGGGGTCATGGGGGACAAACGGGTACCGCTTGAAGCATTGTTAGCTATATAAAGGGCGCAAGTATAGTGGTGCAGTTTTTTTTTTATTAATCATCAACATTAATGTTTTTTGGTGATTCATTTGTTTATGTGTTGGTTAGTTTATTTATCCATTTACTTATTAGCTATTTAAATTCGGCCGTTGGTTCATTTATTTCAATTTTCAGATTAAAAATAAAGAAACACAGTGCAATACATTACAAAAATAGAGACATCATATTCTTACACAAAAGAACTGTACATATGATTATCTAAACAAATGTGACATAATGCATTCATAACTATAAAATTGAAAACTAGAGGGGGGAGGAAACAAAATGTTTATTTATTCTATCATTTATTGATGTATTCACATGTACATGTATTTCATAGAATTTTAGGGGGCCATTAGAGTAAAATTCGCATCGGAGTGCGGGCTTCCAAGTTGTATATGGCGAATGGCGGGCTTATTATTTGCCTAGGGCATAAAAATTGTGCAGAAAATGTAACTCCGGGGTTTAGAATTTTCACCCATTTTAAACCAACTATTTTATCATCTGTCCCTTTCTTCATTTGTTTCATTACGTATTCTGACATGGCTTTTATTGAAGTCTTCTAAATACCATTCAATAATAATGTTCCCTACATCATGACAGTTTACTCAACAACAATCTGCAGAATAACTCTTAAAGCAAAGGATTTTAACTCCCTTAGGTGACAAACCAATAAACTTTTTTTAAAGGAAGTACTTTTGAAAGATCATATGTACGAAAATGGCAATAAATATTCATAAATCGTAAAAGTGATTACCCTAGCACTCAAATAACGCCTACATAAGCTCTGAATTTCTACTCGAAGGTTTGTGAATTTAGAAGCTCACAAATCACATTGGGCATGGGGGAAATCTTATTGTCACGTTAAAGGTAATACAAAGTTTTGGTATGGGGTCATGAATTTTGTTCAAATGAACATATTGGAAACATATGCGATCCTACAATATTCAGTGATTGTCTGAGCGGTTGAAATCGAGTCTAAAGTTATGACATTGTAAATAATAAACTCTTTATGTTGTATAGCTCCCTCTCAAGGTCAAGATATTAATTAAGCTATAACAATGTTTCTTCACTAAAATCGACCGATAAGCTATTCCCGTTTGGAAATTATGTATCTCAACTGCATACTCTGAGATTTTCATGGTCGGAACTACCAGTGGAAGGCCTAAGGCGCTATTTGAAATTTATCAACATTTACTGGGAGCACCGGTAAATTTTTATATTCAATTTCTCTCGAAAGCAGAAGTGTTTTACAGGCTAAATTTTCTAGTGCTTATAATATAATATAATGTTGTTTTTTTCCTCTATGAACCTATATTATACAAGCCCTGCTTTTTAATAGGTCCCTCACATTCTAATTTATCTATTATATGAATTGAGAATCATTGCATGTGCTTATTTATACTACAATTGTAATGTATAATTTTATATTTTACATGTATGTTTATTTTTTCTGTAAAATGTGGAACCTTAAACTTGAACTTGAACTTAAACAGTAGAATCACAAACCCAAACAGACCCATACTCATGGTAACACGTGCACGTATCTTCAAACACACACAAGTTCTTTTATTAACAGTATGGACGCACTGACTTTCAACAAATTTATATCGTTAAATTAAAACTCATTTAAACAAAGATAATATGAATGACGAGGGCTAAACACCCTCGTGTTAACTCCTTCCCACGCGTTCCTGGAAAAAGTCTCGAAATGCGATCTTTTTCTCCCCGAAGCTTCGTCGAGATCGATGATGAGAGAATAGGGGTCTTGACGAGGCGAAGAAAGCGAGACCAAGAGAGTTTCATTGAACTGACTTTCGCCCCAACCCGCATCGATCTCTAGGCTAATAAGCCGGCGTCTAAGATAGGGAGATGGAAAGGAACCGCAATTCATATACAGAATATTGGCATTCCATCGGTCAGACTATAAAAAATTGAATGGCAAATATGTGGAAATTGGAAATGAATAACCTGGTTAGCTTACGAATGACGCCCGGCGATGCAGTTTTTTGAAAATTCGCGATATCAATATCACGGGTAGCTTTGAGTTTAAAATATTGGCGGTATGTACTCTCGGTAAAAGTTAAAGATGAGTGTTATGAACATCACATGCTATACCTACCATGCTCCCTCACTTCATTACGATATACCCCTCTTTACATGTCAAATGATATATCCACCCCCTCCCCTCCATACGTTACACCACTTTCTAGGCTAGTCCCACACTCCACTTGCCGTATATAGAGTTCAAAGGTCAATATTTTACATTAACGCTCAAAATTATAAAAGTTCCACCTTTAAGGCAATGATATTTCTCCTTGTTCAGACGAAAATTGAACATCAATATTATCTTGTGAGATCTAAGCCTGCGGGCAAATTTTCATGCCTTAACTCTGTTCAAAAGCTTAGATTTAAGGGAAATGACGCATGTTTGAGTTTTAAGTTTAATTGGCAGCTTCTAAAATAGCCTAGTCATTACTTTGCTTGAAAGTGATACATAAGTAACTATCCCTTTGCCTCTCTCAAGAGATTAACTGACTGGAGACGACGGATGATTTCCATATTTTTTTCTTATTATTTTTCATTATCTTGAGAAAATGTCAATATAAGAGATTGGTTGCTCAAAAAAAAAAATCAGGCAATTGTTTGTGTTGCAGTTGGCCAAAGAGAACGTCATACAAATTCCAACGATGCCGAAGACACATCGTTCAAGCCTTTTTAGAACCTTTTGTATATTTGGAAAAGGTGTACAGGAAATACAGACTTTGGAAGCAAGGGGGGGGGGCGGGGTAGCCGGCAAGCCTAGACTCTAATGTGAATCTTTAGCACAATTCCTAAAGCCTTGAGCAGAGCCTAGATCTGTCAGTTTCTGGTTATGTCAGGTCCAGAGTCTATTGTAGTTTCATAGTGCAGACATTGTTTCGCACAACGACTGAAAAGTGTTTTTTGCTTGCAAACCAGGGGGAGGGACTAAATATTTTCTCTTTTTTACATCAATATAATAGTCGGTGGGAAAGGGTCATAGGAATTTCACATCCTTTTTTTTCCTTTCCAATCAACTGCGGGAAGCGCAAAAGAGGAGGCTGAAACAGTCTTGTTTGCTATCTCAAATCCTTGCCGAATAAAGGATTTTTTTGTGTGTGAGGGTCATTTGCATTAAAAGCCATCTTTATAATTTCTAGAAATGGAAACATAAAGTTATATTGTAGAAATCAAAGAGATCAGATGAATTAAGAAATGCATGCTTTTCTGATCACGAAGCGAAGTGGATAATTGGTAGAATGCTTGCCTTAGATTTTGTTTTCCTGAGAAGAACTTAAGAAAATCAAATCTGTATTATCCACAACGGGGATATGAAGGTCCGGCAATCCGATGAGCAAATCTCATGAATTCTCCTTCCCTAATTCGAAGAATACAAAATAAAGATGTTTCCAAATTGGAATCGGAAATTTATACCTTATCTGCTCAATTTCCAGCAATTTACATTTAGACGGAATTTGGACTGGTCTTTTGAAACCGATAATTTCCCTTCGTGTCACCATGATAATATATATTCATAGAAGATACATGTGTTAGGTAAAATCACCATAATCATGCTACACACAATAGGATTACTATTGATTGTATTCATTACTCCTTCTGCATGTATGGATGGATAAAAGTTGCCCTCAGTATATCTGGATCCGGGATCTGGATTTAGTTGGGTACCGTGGGGTCAAATCATTGAGATGAGGAAGAGGGCAGCGGTCGTAATAGGTGGATTACGTTTGAATTTACAAAGCGACCAATCGGAGATGATTATGAGAGGTGCCATATCATCCTATTGGTCACATTTCTGGGTTGGTTTAGGCTGTTTACGTAGGCTTCGCCCGCCGTTCTAATTTGCACGTTTAATAGTTTTGTTGAACATGCAACAATTAAGAATTTAACCGTTTAAGAGTTGGAGATCAAATTCAATATATTTTTGTTAATCGTGGTCCAGTGGAACCCCTTTAGCGAATAAAAACATTTTTAGAGCAACATGACAGCTGTTTCTGAAAACGCTTGGGTATTTAACTACAGGATTATTTTTTTTATTATTTCTGTTGTTTAATTATCATTATCCTTATTATTATCTTTATAATCATCATTATTAGTATTATTTGATCATTATTATTATCATATCATCAACACTTTAAATATCAATATTATCAGTTTTGTTATTTTGGTATTGTTGTGACAACATAATAACAATTTATAATATAAATACAATTTCGTATTCACTTCTGTTTTTGTCTTTGATTTTTCTTCCACTCAGAAACGTTTACCCGGATGTGTGAAAGCGACGGATCTTGGGAGGAAGGTCTCAACTATCAGCAATGCTTCAAAACATTGGATGAGAGATCGTTTACACGAAATGCAACAGAGGAACAATTACAGGTATCTAATCTCATTCTTAAAGGCCCACTGCACTACTTGTAGCTAATTGCGCCCTCTATATAACAAACAACGCTTAATCGGTGACCATTGGTCCCCCATGATCCTCTTTTTCTTATGTTAACTGAGAGCTGAGTTGATGAGATAACCACCTGTCCAGTGACCTTGTAGGGCGGTCTAATCCCTCCTGTAAACTATGGCAGATAAGCTTTAAAGGTAGGGTATTCCACTTATACTGCCATCTTCTGCTCACAATGTTCCGATGCGTCTGCAGTCATGTCCCATAATGCATCACCAACTGATGACGTGAGCTTGATGATGCTTGGTTACATGAACATGAAATCGTCATGCCTTTTGCCTTTAAGATGGCGCAGTCGAAAGTTCATTACAGCCCTGATTTTAGCCCGTATAGCAGTTATTAAAGAAAATGCTAAAGATTTAAATAAATCCCTGTTGCCTTCTCAAAATAGCAGGCATCATTTCTATTTTGTACTCTTACAGATTAAAATGCATTTTAAATGAACCAATGTGAATGTAAAATACAATAATGTCACCGAAACGTTGAATATATACAAAAATTAGTGATTACAAATTTGTCTTAGCATTGCCAATGTAAGGAATACTATTTCAGTTGGATAGTTATTACTACCGAACACAGGCGCGTACGCAGGGGGGGGGGGGTGTTTGGGGGTTAAACCCCCCCCCCCCCCTTTAGTATTTTTATGTGTGTAAACCCCCCTAAAAAATCCCTAAAACCCCCCCCCCCCCCCTTTGGATTTTTTTTTTTTTTTTTTTTTAATTATTTAAAAAAAAAAAAAAAATTACCCCCATGGCTGACCTAAGGAAGGTGACCTTACCCCCCCCCCAACGGAGCAAATGTCAAATTTTCAAATTTGCGAGACCAAAAAAAAAAAAAAAGTGTCCTCTTACCGCCCCCCCCCCCCCCCCCCCCCCACTGAGCGACTTTTCGGCTTGCTGAGTCGTTGCGATTTTTTTTTGGACTCCCCCCCCCCCCCCCAAAAAAAGTGTCCGCTTACCCCCCCCCCCCCCCCCCCCCCCCCCCCCCCCACTGAGCGACTTTTTGGCCGGCGCGATTTTCAAATTTTTCTGAGTCGTTGCGAAATTTTGGACCCGATTTTAAACCCCCCCCCCCCCCCCCCTTTAAAAAATCCTGCGTACGCCACTGACCGAACATATATCTATACTGCAATTACAGCGTCAAGTCACGTCTGGCTGTAATGCACATAGTATGTGCGGGCAAGCACAGAATAAAAAAGTGACCGGGGTAATAGTATATCTGTAAAGCGCTTAGAGACGTCCGAGATGTATTAAGCGCTATATAAAAGCTGAATATTATTATGAGTTAACTTTTCATCGGCGGCAACGCCACCCTCCGGCCTTGTGCCCCTTTGTACTGGACGAGTAGAAGAATGGGACAAAGTACCCATTAGCTTTTAAATGAAGGGCAAATTTTAAAAAGTTTCAAATGGACTTCGGAATCAGCAGCATACTCGGCAAAAACCACATGACATAGGAGGCGTGCATTTCTTTCACGGCTAAAAGTAAAAGGGGAAGAAATCGTCAATGACCTCGGATTAATGCAATTACGACATCATATTCATCTCGTCTTACGTGATGTTGAGAAACGTGATCGAAAAATCACTAAATGTTTTGTTAGCCTTTGCATGTTTTTGAAACCACTGCACTCTTTGATGGACTGAAAACGAAAGTGTGACTGCACGTAGATTTCTCTCCACCATTTTCTTCGTTTAGTTGATTTTAGAGTCAATATCCCCCCGCAGGTGAGGAGGGAGTCAGACTCAAAAGGGCGTCATATAATAAAAAAGCACCATCACAAACGCGGTTCCGTTTAGGCAATTTGAAATTCGAGAAATCAAATTATTGATTGCTTTTTATCCTCAGCCTTGGGACTAGCAACGGCTCAATAATCATCATTAGTTTTGTTTGGCGTACATGACCGAACGTCTTCATATTTACAGTTTTTTTTTAAATTCACACCTTTTTGCTTGTAAAGCCTTTGTTGATAACGAACTTTTAAAAAGGTTCATTTTTCGGGCTTGGAACGAAAGTCCAATATTGGCGTTCCCTGTGCGCCTCTGTTTCTACCAAAAAACAAGTATTTTTACGGAAAAAGAATATTTAGACCATCTGCAAGTTGATGTTTTTCACTTAATGTCAAATCCTCAGACTCTAGTAACCGCGTTTGAAATAATTTTAATTAGAATCGTATTTTTGTTTAATTCAAGCAAAGCTATACATTAATTAATTCAATTCCTATTTATTTGCTGATATGACCGAATGGCCCATTTATTTGTTCGAAATGATTATTTGTGGATGTTTTTTTGCAAAATGAGAACTAGGTTAACTAACCTACTGACCCTCGAGAAACAAGTCCTAACCCCGAAAGACTCGGAGGTAATTTCCACACATTTAGCCTCAGAATCAAATGATTGATAATTGGGGTTATTATTCAGAATGGAATAGGAGCAGGATTTCTTGAAAAGAAAATAAGTAGGTCATTAGATGGACCACGTTGACGTTGGAGCAGGAAGATGGCTAGGAAATAAAGAATAAGATAGAATATAGAAAAACAGAGATTAGCAGAATTGGAACAAGAAATTGGAAGACGAAAATGGATAGAAAAAAGACAAAAGAGGAAAAGAAGGGTACTGATGAGGGCATAATGAAAATGATAGAAAGGCAAGGGGATAAACCGATGGGCATTAAAGGTATAAGAAGGGGGCATATAAGAGGAAATATATGAAATTGAGAAAGAGGAGGAGGAGTAGGAGGAGGGGAAGAGGAAGAAGAAGAGAATGAAGAAGAAGAAGAAGAAGAAGAAGAAGAAGAAGAAGAAGAAGAAGAAGAAGAAGAAGAAGAAGAAGAAGAAGAAGAAGAAGAAGAAGAAGAAGACGAAGAAGACGATGAAGAAGACGTAGGGGAGGAAGAGGAGGAAAGTGTATGAGAGAGAATGGAGGAGAGAACAGGGTGAGAATAGGAGTGGTAAAGGGAATAGATAAGGAAATGAAGGAGGGAGGGGTTAATTTAAAGGGGGGGGTAAAGGGACAGAAGAGGAATGATCCCAACATGTCCCGTTGTATTGAGATTAGTCTCCTAGCAGAATTCTAAAAATAAGAAGGAAATGTTTTTTCCACATCCGTCTTCTCGCCATCGCTGTTTCTGCTACTTTCCTGATCATGGACAACTAGCCTACTGCTTGCATTATTTTTGTTTCTTCCAACAAATTCTGAGGATTTTTGGCCAAGCCTTCAAAAAAGTGATAACAACGATTTAGTTTTTAAATTAGCTTTTTATCATTGGCTTGTATTCTTCCTCCTTATCTTTAATATCTTTCTTTCTCTTTCTTTCTTTCTCTCTCTCTCTCTCTCTCTCTCCCTCTCTCACTTCCCCTCGTTCTTTACGAGGTGATTCGAGCCTCGTATGTATCGCTTTTTTGTGATTTTACAAAATTAATTAATAATCCTTCTGTTATTTTCCCCTCTTTTGTTTCTATAGTTTTATAACAGTGTTATAAATGGAGCTAAGTTAATGGAATTAATCGGCCTCTTCCTGTCATGGACCGGACTTATGGTGGCGCTGTTCATATTTTACTATTTCAGGTAAGAAAAATTCAAATAAGTTCGACA